ATCATTCTCTCTTCTCTGTCAAGTGCTGCTTCCAGTTAGCTTCAAAAGTGACATGCGAACGCACAGCACGCATCAGTCACATCCAGTGGCCCACGTCAGCACACAGAGGGTACTCGTCAACTTTCGGTGGAGGAATCGCTTGATGCAGGCGGCTTGTGCGGGCCAGATTGCCTCATGACCACTTTTGGGAGGCAGGCGCTGGCTATTTCAGTTCGGTCTATAAATAGTCGCACTGCGGTTTTTGCCAGTTTGATAAGCCTGTAATTGGAGTTGCATCCATCAGGTTACAGAGGGCTTTTAATCCTGAGATGTGTTGGCTGGGTTCTGGAGATTTTCAGGTTAAAGAGCATTCATTGCCATTGTTTAAGCCTGGGTTCACTGAGCTAAATGCTATTAGATTATTACAGTGTGTCAAAAGCAAATTAATCTAATTTTGGCTTTTCTGTAGCTCTGCCAAACAGTCAAGCCTAATAAGGCATTGTATTCAAACCTCCTTTTTAAGCCCCCTGGCATGAGGTACATTGGGATTTTCGAAGGATTAGAGTTCAAAATTAGGTTATGTCACTCTTTTACCTGAATTATAGTGCAGTTTGTTGGGTTTTCACGGCTCTGCTGTAGTCGGTAGTCGGCCTCTTTGTGGTATAGATCAAAAGAGAAGCCGTGATTATGAAACGGATCACTTCAGTCTAGGCTCTTAGGGTTTTTTTTTTTCCCCATGTGCTTTGATACGTCAGAACCTTGATGGGCTTCAGTTATTGAGCCCAGTATTTGGCTGTGCTGCGCGGAGGCCGTCAGCGGATGCTCTGATTGTCCTCTGGCAATTGAGTGATAACTGCAGCAAGCATGTGACAAAGAGGAGTGGCAGCTGGTGGATGCTGGGATACGTGCTGGGTCACCTCCCTGTGAAAAAGCCCTCACTTCTACAATTAATGCCCCTCAGACATTTAGAGGAATATCTTGTTTGGGATGTAATTAGAAATGGGAATTATAAGGAATTTAATAACTGTTGTTCATTTTGGTACTTTTGAGGAAAACTGTTCATTTCCAAACCATGAGATTTGTGATAAATAATTAAAATTTTTAATGAAATCTGACACAATTAATTATATAAATGTGGTAATATTCCCCACAGTTCAAAAGTTTGGGAATGGTATTTTTTTTTTAAATGTTATACTAAATATTTTAAATGTAAGTCTCTTATACTATTTAACATTTTATATTAATATATTATTTAACATTTTTAACATATTTAACATTATAAATGTCTTTAGTGTATATAAAAAAAACTGCTGACAAAACTTTGTAATTTGTAAAGTGTGTGTTTTTTTTTTTTACTCGGTTGTATTTGTTGGTTTGAAAACGAACTGCTCATAAAGAGTCCTTTGTTCAGTAATCTGACTGCACTGATTGCTAATTGTTTTGATGCGGAATATGAGCCGGTTCTAACGTCCCATCACATTAGTGCACATACGCTTTAAATTTAGATTTATAAAAAGTAAAAGATACTTCCATGAGTGGCCACCAAACTATGGACAGTTTTGGGTTATGGGAAGATTTTTATTTACTCTGACATGCATGCATGTCCTGATATATGTTTTCTTCCCATAATGGCCTAATCTGGCTCTACCTGCTGTGTTGTAGTCTAATGTAAAAAAAAAAAAAAAACTACAGTCTTTTCCATACGATCAGCAAATTTTGTGGGAACATCAGCATTTTGCATAATTTATTTGTTTTGGTTTGCATGTTTCTCTTCACTTCCCAAACAACCCTAATGTATGCTTGCATACAGTACAGCGTGTGTGTGTGTGTGTGAGAGAGAGTCTTTGCTTACGTGACCACGTGCAGACACATTATGTCAGAGCCAGGCTGCGTGCTCTAGGCCGGGGGGCTCAACGCAGCGGGAGACACTGCTGTTTAATTTCAGCACTTCATCCCCCTCCGTAATGAAGCTTCCCTCACGCACATTTGCTCACACCCTGTCAGTGCTGCTGGCGGGTAATTGGGATGTGACTGAGCATGAATATCCCTTACGCCTGCCGCAGACCGACCTCCCCGCGACCCTGCAGATAGCTCTTTGTCTTAATGGACATATCATCTTTTATTTAGATCTCCATTTGAAAGTAATTGTCAGCAGGAGGGGGTTATTGCAGTTGATTGAGACGAATAGACTGGTGTTTCACAGCGGACCTCTTTGATTGGCTGCAGTTTTTGGCTGGCTTTGATTATGAGAGTCGGAACAAAGGTGTGTGCTGTGCCAAGCTGTTTTTAGAGGCCCGCCCCGACCCGTTCCTTCCTGATCATTGGAGCTCTTCTGTCTCCAATACAATCAAAGATGTATGTATGCATGTACCATTTGAATCACAATACTGGCATGTATATGTTTAGATGTGTGTTTTACAAACCCCTCCAAAGTTTACTGTCAAGTAACTGCACCTGGTGGAAAAACACTCACCAGGTGCAGTTAAAATGCAACGCAGCATGTGATGTGCAAGTGTTGGGTCTGTAAACAGTAGCAGCAGGAATGATGGGAGATGACCTCAGGAAATGTTAGATTCTGCGGGGGTGATCAGAAAGGGTGGCATTGGCTTCTTTATGCATTTCGAACATCAAAAGTGACCATACTTGATACACACTCATGGTCTTTTAGTGTTTTTTTGTAAAAAAGGACTTTCATGTTTGTTGTTTTGCAGTACTGAATTATGTCAGACTTATACATTCACCATAAATTCATAATTTAGATATCATTTCAGTGAATAAAAGTCAAAATTATTTTCCTTAATATACAGTATAATTATGAATGCTATATAATGAAAAGTTATAATTAACTTTTGTGATTAGACTTTTGTTCATATACTGTAAAACCATTGCGTCTCTTAAGAAAACTTGGATTAAACTGCTGGAATCATATGGATTAAGTTTACATTGTCTTTATGAACTTTTTGAAATGTCAATATAATGGAGGGACAGAAATCTCTCAGATTTCATTAAAAATCTTCATACATGTTCTAAAGATAAATTAAAGTCCTATGGGTTTTTTTTTTAATTGCTATAAGAGGTTAATTGATTTTCTTTTTTCTTTTTGGTGAACTATTTTAAATAGGCTTTGATCCAAAATAATGACAATCATAATATCCAGAAGTATTCACCCCTTTTCAAACATTACTAGTGCGGCCAATTGGTTTCAAACGCATCAATACTTAAATGGAGATAACTTGTGTGCAGTCAAGGGCTTTTGATTGATTTTAGTATAAATACACCATCTGGAAGGTTCAATTTGGCAAGTCAATATTGTGGCAGAACTTACACCATGAACATGAAGGCTCCAAACAACTCCATGAAAAAGTAATTAAAAGGCACAAAGCAGAGGATGAATACAAGAAGATTTCCAAGTCATTGAATACCTCTTGGAGTAAATCTGTAATTAAGAAATAGGAAGTGTTGTGCAGCTGCAAATCAAGTTTTGATTGACAGAGTGACCAGAATTATGGCCAGTGTTTCAAGTAAAATGGGTTGTAAACACGGTTTAATGTTGATGTCAAAGAACCTGGGGTGCATCATTTGCCCCATCAACAATTTAGGCTGTTTGCGTCTTGCATTAAAGCGACAGTACATAACTACTTCCACACTTAAAATAGAGGTGTATTGCTTTACAGACAGACACAACTCTTCGTTTGGTGTGATTAATTTCTCATGTTTACAGGTCATCTCTCAGGCAGAGCATCTCATTCACAAGGGGCCCCATCAACAGACATTGCAAGGTTGCAATAAAAGCAGCAAACGTAGCACCGTGTACTCTAATAAATCTTCGGAGGTTAAACCCCACAGCACTAAAAACCTAGAAAGACCTTTTCATCATCCCCATAAAAGTGGCAATGTCACAGTGTTTGTGGTGAGCCACCGTCCAGGATGCTGGAATCAGTGCTCCCCTGTAATCTAGTTTAACACAGCCTACAGACAGACATCCTATGTCTCATTTCATTATTCCATCCGTTTTGTGCAGGTTTTGCTCCATCAGACTTGATCACTTTATATTCAGAGGCTTTTATAAGACCAGAATTCAATGCAATCTGAATAGCGCCAGCCCTTTTAGTGCCGAAAAAATTACTAGGTCTATGGATGGATTCTATGTTGGCGGCCATGCTGGTATCAGCCGATACATTTAGTGTTATCCATATCCATTTATATATAAGATAAAATATAGCTGAATTTCTAGTTGACTTGCCTTTTGTTCAATACAAATCATTTTAAATGTTTTCCTTTGGTTTATTTAATTATTTTTCGAAAGTCATAATTTCCCATTTAGCGTATAAAAAAGAAAGTTCTCCATAAGAATGTATTTATTTAAACTTTAGGCGTTTACTAGTCGAAATATAAATATTATTATATAATTATCTACAATATAATTGCTTGTCCGTGTACATACTTTATGTATTTTTTTTAGAAGTGTTTTTCCATTAGCATCACATCTCTGCATTTTGTTTATCATCTAGCATAGAACATTAAAATACATTGTGTCAGCTTCAAATTAGTAATACTAAAAGATTGTAAAAAATAAATATTTATAGTAAATGTAAAAAATAGAAAATGTTAATCACACAATTGAGTTTTCATCATTGATCATTGCCGTCACTTTTCTAACAAACGCTACATTATATTAAATGCCTAAAGAATGACTCACTCATTGTTCCCTTACTTTACCACTTTTTAACCCTGAATTCGAGAAAATGTATTTGTTTTTTCTCCTTATCAGTTTGCTATTACTTCCTGTTTTCACTAGTTATTCTCTTGCAGAGTTGCACGCACAGGGGCCTCTCTACCATGGTCTATTTTGCCTTTCCAGGAATTGTCAATATATAGACAACTTCCTAGTTCCTGGATATTTGATTTCCAGTCTTTTTTTTTTCTCAGATATGGAAGCTGTGTTTACATGTTATAATAATCGCTTTTCCTCCTCTATTTCCTTTTTGCTCCCCACCCGCTCGATCCGTCCTTCCTCTCAGTGGATGATCCGGGAGCCGCACAAAGTTGGCACCTTCTTTGGCTGCATCGGGAAGGATAAGTTCGGGAAGATCTTGAAGGAGAAGGCAGAGGAGGCCAACGTGGATGCCCACTATTATGAGCAGAGCGAGGAGCCCACAGGGACCTGCGCGGCCTGCATCACTGGCGACAACAGGTCAGCCACCCCTTTCCTCTAGGGAGGGCCCTTATCGCTTCCTCAGGATAGCACCCCCCCTGCACACACACACAGTGCACATTCACACACCCCACCTCACCATGCACTGGGACTCACTGTTCCCTTGCCGGCTGTTCTGCTCTTTTCCGCCAGAGCTCTTGATTTATTTATTTGCCGGGGTTAGATCAGCACAGAGGTATTTTGATACACCGCATGACTTGGCCCTGAAGGGTGCTAGATTCCATGACTGAGCAGATATGTGAAACTGATCTGACCAAATTATGTGCTACCTACATGTTTGAGCATTTGATGCGTTTAAGTGTTATTTACTGTTTCTCTGCTTGAGAAGGGGATGTGATTTGTAACCATTTAAGCTCATTGACTTATTGTATAAATCTCTAATTTGTATAAACTCTGGGGACTAACCATATAATCTTAAAATCTAATTCTGATGCCAATGATAGTAGGAGTGGGAGCTTAATAATAATGATTAATTTAATTTTTATGTGGTTCCTTAATGATTCTATGGATGACTCTTAGCTCTTGGTAAGAATATTTAGTAAAAGATAAAAGAAAAACATACTCAGAAGTTTGATGATGTTTTCAATTTCAACAGAACAGATGTGACAAATCAGAAATAAATACCTTATATATAAATTGTATGTAATTTAATTAGCTTTTTATTACATTATTCATTTGTATTATTGTACGTTTGCTTGTAGTTATTAGTCAGACATCACAAAATGAAAATGAATACATTTCGGTTCCGTTAGTGAGTCTAGTAACTGAGATTTATTCAGTAACCACTGTAAAAAAAATTCTGTAAAATTAACTGGCTCATAGAAGTAGTTTGTTAAAGTCAATCAATATTTTTTTGTGCTATATATTCACAAATGTGCTGCTTAGTAGTAGTGCAGGAAACACTGTATTTTGGAGCTTAAGAGACGTGGTCACTATAAACTGTTTTTAGGAGTTGCACTGAAAACTTGTATACTTTACTTATTTGATAATAATTCCTGGGAGGACTATTCCTTTAATAATAATAAAAGAAAAATGCATGCATTTGCAGGGGCACCGGTGTCAGTGACATCAACTGAATAATAGATGCACCTCTGAGGCAGTCGTGATCGTTCAGGTGGTGATCTGCATTTGTTTTGCATGTGTCAGCCATGCTATGGCTTTTTAATAAGAGCTGCTAACAAAACTATTTCAAGTGTGTGTGTACATGAGTAACTGCTCACAGGTCACAGGTGTCTCTTTTGAAGCGAGCTGACAAAAGAGAAGGACTTTAGATCATTCTGGTTACTTTATTGTAATTTTTCTTGCTGTAAAAGGGTTATGTTAAGAGTTTTGATAAAAGCAAATGCTAACAGATAGCTTTCTCCAGGTATCTTAGACCACCTTGGAGTACATGTACTTTTGGTCATGTTACGCATGTTTAAAAGGGCCCATGTTGCCCGGAATATATGAAAGTCGAGAAGGAGATTTATTGGGACTGGTCTCATTGTTTAGACTGTCATAGATAGTGTTGAGAGGGCTATGTATTAGAGACAGTTTGAAAAAGCAGTGGCTTGTAGAGCTGTCAGCCTTGGCCTTATGAGGCTCTTCTCATTAGCACCTCACCTGTCAAAGCAGACCCTTTCATTACAGGAGATTCACAGACTGCAGCTCAGGGCCTGAAAGCGGCTTGATCAATATCTTCCTCAATACTTTCTCCCTGCAGCTATGCAGAGCACCTGTGCACTGCCGCCAGTGAGACAAGCCAGACGGGAAACGGTGTTAAAAGACTGGCTTGGGAGGGGGGAGGGAGAGGTCCCGGGTCTACAGCCTGCAGCGAGAGGTCTGCCCTTCCTCTCAGCAATGCTTCCCTCTGTGAGCGATAATGATAGCGTGGAGGAGAGTCCGACACAATCTGCCTGGTCAGATCAGCGTGACTCTGCCACTCTAAATGCTTATTATGCCTTAATGGATTTGATTTTGATTAACACGATGACATCAAGCAGAAGGGTGTCAGATCTGCATCTTGCATGTTCCACTGTGAAAATTACAATCAGTTGCTTTTTCTGTGAAGGGGATCAACCCGAAGCACCTTTGTAACCATGACTTGTGCAGGGGTGGAAAATACAGCATCTCTTGGACATTGCGACAACACACTACTGAAGCAACTAGCCTCATCCCCCTTTTATTTTTTGTTTATGCCTTAGGCTGGAATTATTTAAATGAGGGGATTTGTTACTTGCACATTCTCAGAAGAAAACTGAAGACTCCAATCGAGGCGTTCAGAAACCGTGCTTACTCCCTTTGGAGTGGACTTTGTGCTTTGTAACTTTTACCTTTTTCGTGCTCAAATAACATTAGCAAGTTGAAAAATGTAAAAAAAAAAAAAAAAAAAAAAAGCCTAAAAGGACCCCTCTAAATGTAGTTTTTTTTATATTGCCATTTATTGGCCCCATGAAAATAATCTTTACATTAAAATAGGAAGCATGAAAATAATTATTAGCTCATCACCGTACTGGCCTGAAATTTATTATTGGTGCATCTCAAATACATAGTCAATTTAGATAGGAAATTTCAAGTTTGGAATCGTGCATGCTTGTTAAAAAGGTTTCAAAAGAAAATAGTTGTAAATCAAGTGTAACATACATACATACATATATATATGTGTGTGTATATGTGTGTATATATATGAAGAGTTCAGATGCAAAAGCCTCTAAGTGCCATTTGAAATTTTCTTCTAGAATGATCATTTTTATCAAGCTTGTATATTTAAGTTCAGTGAATATACAAGTATATTCAATATACAAGTTTGATAAAAATCATCATTAAAGAAGAACATTTCAAATGGCATTTAGAGGCTTTTGCATCTGAACTCTTCATATATATATATATATATGTGTGTGTGTGTTTGTGTGTGTGTGCATATTTATGGTTACTTGATTTACATTTATATTCTCTTGAACCCTTTTTAGCAAGCATGCACCAGTTCATAAATACTATGTCTCTGCTATTTCTATCAATGCTTTTCACTTTTCCTCCAAAAGCCATAACCGCAGGTCTATCGATTCTCATTTGTGGCCTGACTGTGCATAGCAGTGCTTCTTCTGTAAGGCTAGTAATGCTGGTCCATTGTAGCTGCTGGCCTGTTGGGACCGCATCCTCTCAGTAACAAGTGAATAATGAGAGTGGTTGTTTTTCAAAGTGGAATTAGTTGTTTTTGTTGATACGAGGACCACCGGGAGGTTAATGGAGAAACAGCAGTCCCGGTGGACGTTTGCAGTTCTCCTGCATTATTGATTTGTTTGTTCATTTATTTATGGGAAAGGTCTTGTAAGGCATTTGCACTTAAATAAAAAGAAGAGAAATAAAGAAAAAAGCGTGTTGATATTTAATTCTAGCAGAGCTAAGACAAAGCAGCTGTTTAGAAAACCATAGTCCATATGTTAGCCGTATTCCGCCTACAGCAATTTACAAAGTTACAGCAGCACGTTTTCAAGGAGCTACATAATTTACACCATCACCCTGAAGATAGAGTTGGTTTCTCTACTGCATTATGTGGCTTCTTTCATATAAATCCATTTAAGAGAAGGAAATGGGGATTGGTGTTATGTGAAATAGACAGTGCCTTTAGGACGTATAATGATGATAATTTGAAGATACAATTTTTCTCCAAAACTTTCTGGAGAAAAAAATATTTCTGAAACAGGTATTTTATTTAGGTATTCAACAAGTAATTTTTGTCTGGGCAATTTATCTTGCTGTATTTAAAAAAAAAATTGTATGCCTACCAGGGTTTTCACTTTCACATGACCCCACTACAAAACATAATAATATGCTTAATATGCATATACATAATATATATTTTTAAATATATTTTATTTATTGAAACAAATTTGTGTGCATGCCAGAAATTATAAGAATATGTACAGTTATTTTAGATTATTTATGTCCTGTGTATATATGTAGTATTGTTTAAATGAATACAATTTATTAAAATATATAATGTTTAGGTTATGTTTTCTGTACAAAAAAAACAATGTACAACAATTTAAAAGATTTTTAATTTCCAGTCCTGGAAGCTGGAATGTATATTTCCATTAACTAAATCCTTTAGGAAATATTCAAACATAAATTTTTTGCTGGAAAATAATGGCTTAATCTGCAAATTATTTGTTTATAATATTGACCCAAATCTGTACTCTGAAAGTTAGATTTAATGTAGTTTTGTGATTTTTCTTCCATTAGGTCTCTTGTTGCAAATCTTGCTGCTGCAAATTGCTACAAAAAAGAGAAACACCTCGATCTGGAGGAGAACTGGAAGCTTGTTGAGAGGGCCCAAGTTTACTACATCGCTGTAAGTAGAAATGCCTCTCTTGACACTTTTGCCTTAATTTCTTGCAGTTTGTCACCATGTGTTGCAGTGTTAAAATTCAGCTTCTCAAGTTTGCTTATTCTTTTTTTCCAACCAAACTATCAGATTGCCGAGGGTTAAACTTTTTTCTCTTTTCATTTTAGTTTTTTTGATCACTTTGCCTCTGTTAATGCATACATTTTGGCACAGGTGTGTATTTTTATCGAAATATGTGTATTTTTATATTTCACTGCCATTTTCTTTTTTGCTCTAGATACACAAAATACTCCCTCTCAGCGTCTTTTGGACAAAAATGGCCCCATTGAAACCCATTAAAACTGCAATTTTTAATCCCAGGGCCATTTAACTATAAAATTATGAAATCTTTGTTAAGAGGCTTTCATTCTGTTGGGAAGGTTTCAATTTTTTTTTTTTTTTACCATATGGTGCCATTTTTTTCCAGGTTTGGCCTATAAAACAAATATCGCTTTATTTTTGTTTTCTGCCTCAGGATATTATAGATCCAATTGGATAAATTGTGCAACGATAATTGTGTGGGTGTGTTGGTATGGATGTCTGAGTGTGGTTAGTATGTGTGTTATAAAAAATACGTGTGTGTTTTGTAATATTGAGAGAGAAAAACTCAACTGCAAATAGCGAATCCAATCACTGTGAGTGGAATTTTGCTGGCACCCAAAAATCTGTAACTGTGCCCAAACAACCTCTTACCGAAAGCATTTTTTGAAATATCAACCTCAAATTTGGAACACAACTTTAGTTTAGTTGAGTTCAACTTGTTTTATAAAATATATATTTTATATAAAATCATTTTCAGCAATAATTTTCATAAACTTATTACTTTTTTTATTACTTAACTTTTTTTTTTTTTTACTTCAGTAATAATCTGCCAAGGGTCTTCTTTAAAATAATACCAAACTTAAGTCTGTGCTCCCAAGCTTCACATTTTTATGACAGTTTTTTGACACAGACATTTTTTTGTCCTCATTTTACCTATTTGTAACTTTTTTAAATTGATGCACAAGGGTTAAATGTTTTTTGATTATGACAATATTTCTACCATTAGATCACAAACTATGTAATTTCTGTTCCAAACCCAACAATGCAGCGATGCATGAAGTCCTGAACTGTAACTGGTTCTGCAAAGTGGGGGGAAATGCAGTCTGAAGCACAGTCGGTCTGCTTGCAGCATGGTGCTCTTTGACCTGTGAGAGTCTAGATGTTTGATCAACAGGTCAGAAGGGGGTGGAATGACTCACTCCTAAGGGCATCGACCAGACCGAAGCTTCCATTTACTGCACATGCACCTTAAGCCCTTGACAAAACAAGTTTGTCTAAGCACTTGTCCACTCCGTCAGTCAGCTGTGCTGGTTAATTCTGAGTACACTCTGCGAGACGAGATAGATGCAAAAGCCGCTGCTGGTAATTACCGGTAATCAAGGTTGGTGTGAAACGAGCGACCCCATTACACTCCGACCTTATTGTTAATGAGCCATTGCGAATGTGATTGGGATGGCTCTTAATGTGAGTCTGTACCTGCTGTAAGCTCCATTCATCGAGGGGAAACTCTGGCATCTGCACAGACTTGGACATCATTTGTTGAATACCTGAATTGTAGGACTGTGATTAACCTCGATGCAGGAGTCAGTCTTTGAAGCTCAATTTGGCAGCCATTGTAACGTGACACTCTAATCAAATCATTTTCGTCCCTGATTAAACGTTTTTCATCACACTGTCGTTTGGTGAATGGAAAGCTCGAGGCTATACATGAATATTGAGGAGCCATTGTGTATTGACGGCCTTTGTGTTTTCCAACATGACTGAATACGCCAGCGTTTATGGGAAAGTGCCCTGATGGCTCCGTCTCTTCATCGGCTTGTTGTCACGGTTGCTTCTTTTCGCGCAAGCTGCTCCACCAAACATTGAGGTCCGCATCAAGTCATCCCTTTGGCTTAATGGCTGTCCTCAACGGCTGAGAATGCGAACGAGCAAGCAAATTCCAGTGTTTATTGAAGGTCTTGTCCCCATTTTGTCAGCTTAGGCTTTTCGGTAGTGCTTGTTTGACAGCGATCCTGAGGGAGAGGTGATAGTTTCTGTTGTGATGCCCTGCTCAGTTTGTCCGAGGCTCAAATTTCAGCTGAGATTGGAGTGTTGAGCGTCCCAGCGAGCAGGCTTGTTTTTCCTCCACAGGTCCAAACCGAGTTGAGAGAGCAGCTTCTTCAGGTCTCCGCTCAACAGACATGTTTAATTCATTTGGCCAAGCTGCACAGCCACTCCAGCCCCCCATTTTTCTTGTTCTCGCTTGCTCTCTTTCTGGCCAGAGGCAGCCCGGTGATGGTCGAGGAGTGTGAGAATTGATTATCCAGCCAGAGAAAGTTCATTACTGGAGTAGATCTTCTTCCATCTTTATAGTGGAGCAACCGTTCCTGAAATCTGCCTCTGGTCACAGTTTGGTGAGCAAGCAGACATGGAACCAGTCCCTAAGGGAGCCGACTTGACCGCAGCAGGAACACCAACCGAGTTCTCGGTGGTCGAAGTCTCTACGGACTTCCTCTTTTTTTTCTACACGCACTTGTTTCTGAGAAGAGACTCCACTGCTTGTTTTGGCTGGGTGTCAGATCTTGATAGTTTGAACTGAGAAACTGAAAACAGGCCAGTTGATCAAATAAACTGAGTGCTCTTGTTCGTTGTCCTGCTGGTTATCTGGGAGTCTCTGTATTCGACTGACGCAGGATTATGTAAGCGATTTCCTCTTCCACATAACCACCACAGGCTATGGCACCAGCCAGTCTGTCCTTGTTATGCTTCAAGCCGCATCTCTCTCTCTCTCTCTCTCTCTCTCTCTCTCTCTGTTTTTGACTATCTCTTCTCCTCTGTTTGCACAGAGACTCTTGCCTTATTGTCTATTAAATACAATCTAGACTAATTCATTAGGGTTGGTTAAAAATATTGGTTTTCTGATTAATTGTGATCGTCAATCTAGATATCGAGTCATAAAATCCCAGGATGTTTTTTTTTTATGTACCACGTAATAGAGTTGTCAAAAATATTGATAATTCGATAAATATCGATACTGAAATATCTGAACGGTACTAATACTAATTTCCTGAATTATCGATACTAGCCGAGCAGTCACTTTCACTTCTCTCCAAAGGTGCGTTGACACACCACACGTGACTCACTCATCTCATTCGCTCTGGTTAAATAGCAAAAGTTAAGTGAATGGAAAGATGGCGAGGGTGGCGCCCCCGTGACCGGCTTTGGTTGATTGATAAAGAACACCACGATTTGGCATGTCGGAGAATAGCGCAGACACACGCTTGACACTGTGCGGGATCCCAAAAGTTTTTTTGACTATCAATAATCCCTCACATCACTCATTTTTAAAAATTATTTTATATACTGTAGGTGAAAACAGACTTAAGGAACAGGCTCCAGGGGTATCCTTTAGCAAGCATATGCTCAGCATCAGGAATCAGGGTTTGTTGGTCAGCATCAGGGTTTTTGTTTGGACAGACCTGCCCCCACTGCTAAAAAAATTAAATAAATAAATAAAATCCAACACTGTAACTCTTCTCATTTTACCTTTTCTGAAATATTAACCAAGATGGCCTAGCATTGTTGTTGATATGAGTCTGTGTTGTTTATTTTTTTCACCATAATTCTTAAAACATAATCTGACTGAGGAATCTTAGACAAGTAAATATTGTAACTGTGGTCAAATGTAAATTAACTTGTGCCTATTTAACTTTATTCAAAAATTATTTAATTCTGGAATTTTCCTTCATTAGCGATTATCATCAATTTGATTACAGAGATATTAAACTAAACAACTAGGCATCTCTTAATTTAATAATGTAATGCCTTTAACTGAAAATTTAATGTTTAATCTCATTATTATCTATTCCTGACAGTCTATCCTCCAATTTGAAACTGTTAAGTGCTTTTTTGTTACAGTATATTTTAATCTTTGATAACAGTAGGTAATAAAAATACAACGGATCATGTTAGCTCTGGTCCAATTAAAAAATATTAACAAATAGAACCCAGGACATTTTTGTTCATGTAAAATATACATCGTCATGTTCTAGACTTGTTTGTTTTTTTTTCTCCGTGGTATCGAAAATGGTATCGAATATCGTTATTTTTCAATGTATCGTATCAAAGTTAGAAATTCTAGTATCGTGACAACACTACCGCATAATATATACAGCATAACCAGTGTGATATTCACAAACCATGATGAACCAGTTCTTTTTAGTAAGTCAAATACACATTCTACATTAGATCCGTTTGAGTGGTTAATAAATTTGCATCAAGTTTATATTTTAACAAAAGAATATTTTTATATTTTCATATCTAGCTGTTTGTCGGTATATTTGTGTATATCTATTTGTCTATCTGTCTTGTCTGTCTGTCAGTCAACAAATATTAAAACATTCAATTACTGGAAGTAATGATAGATTGATGTTATTTTAGTAACTTGATTTTAATTTGACACTAATTGAATCAAACAAATAATTGGTGAATCAGGATCAAAACAGGAAATATATTAATACCCGAAATTGTAATTCATCCACCTTTTGGGTCCTCTGCATAAAAGTGATGATTCAATTCCAATTCATTTAAAATGCAAATATGTTGGCTGCGTTTGTAGTGAGTTAGGCTGGATTTATAATTTGTGGCTGTGCAAATATATAATTGCCATGTAACTGGCAAGCGTGTGAGCCCATCTGTGAGATCACAATACAGTGGTGGTCAATCTTCAGCCCATCCCCTTAGAGAGCTCTTACACTTGACTACTTCAGATCTGCTCCGATTTTCTCTTAGCTCCCTTGACATTATGGGAGAGCACATTGTGACGGCACCCCAGTCCACTGGCAGAACTCTTATCTGCTATTTCACGGAATCATGGCCCTAAAATGTACCGTATCATGGTATCAATCAGGGCTGCTCCATTTTCCACCTAAGCACCTCTCGGTAAC